AACCCTTAGCAAACATAGCATATGAATTTTGGTCTACACAACATCTGGCAGTACTGTAACTGAGCCATAAGTCCTAAAGATGTGAAGTTATAACTGGATAAGTCGCCAGTATAATTTTATGTCACTTTCAATTATATAAGATAAACCAAAACAGAAAATACTGGAGCCTTGACAAGCCAGTGACAGACTGGCAACCTCTTGCCCTATGACAGCTGGGAAAGGCGCCAGTTCCCTGAAATGGATAAGTCATAGAAAATCAATGGAAGATAAGATAAATTTTGGAAATTCCTGTGATAAAGCGGCCAAAGACGTAAACACAAACACTAAGAAAATATCTTAAAGGTAAAGAAAAACTCAAATAAACTCAAATAAATACACATAAAATATGTAAAGTGTCTCATTACAGTTATAAAAAGTTCCATTAAGAAAGATCAAAACTAACATGTTGACAGGACAGCATACCGAGTCCAAAACCACCAAAGGATGACATCTTCATCCATCTTTTATACACAAGTCCACAAGCCAAGTTTCAGGAAGATTATTAATTTTCCTAAGTGGTCACATGAGAGGCTGGGACTGTTGTGGAAGGCTGAGTTTAGCTTATTGGTGTGGCCCTCCACAACAGTCCCAGTCTTACCCAATCAACAAGCCCCTAGGAAAAATGATCTGAAGTTTATTTCTCCTTAAATATGAACTTAAGTTTCATCATAGTCAAAGGACATCAGTATATCTTTGTGAAAAGAATTAGCTGACTATCTATAATTGTCAAAATGTCAAAGTAAAAAAATCATTTCTTCCTCAGAATGTACTTGTGTATGGCCAGGAAGTCACTACCGTACATATATATAAGATGTCCTAGCAAAAGCACTCCATTTTTTAAAAAAAGAATAATCATGTGTCATTATACAAACTCATTCAAACTGCAGCGTTTATCTTCATAGCACGGTCGATTTTGCAGAGAGCATTCATCGTGTGGTCGCTCATGAATTTAATGTTTCATTGAATTTTCCATTTGGTGGATGCAGTAAGATCCAAAGTGCTTCACTTAAACCACCACAAGTGCAGCGTGGGTAGTACCAGCAGGATTTTAACCCCCAACACTTTACAGCACTGATGGTCTGCTGAAGCTGTTGAGCAACATACAGTGGAATCTGCATTTTACATCTGGCCTCTCAGACCGCATGTATCCAGATCAAAATGCATTTTTCTGGGCTTTAAACTCAAAGATTGCTCGAATTCAGTATCATCCCCTCCCACCACCATCCCACCCGCTGTTTCCATTTTAGCTGAGCTTGTTTCAGGTCAGTGGCAGTGACTGAAGAGAGGAATGCCAATGGAGTGCTCACAGTCGGCAGCCGGCGCTAATGGCTGTGCCACACACATCTAACAGAGGGAAAGGCTGGCCTGGAAGTGACAGGGCAAAATGTCACTGCATACGACATTACGGAGGCATGGTCAGCATCCATCAAGCATACATAGCTCCAGGGGAAAATGATTACAAAAATAAGAGTCAAAAACTACACAAATATAGCTGAAGCCCTTTGAAGAAATGTCAGCAGCGCTTTTATGGATGGCTCGAAATAAAATCAAACATTAAAGCAAATCAGTAATTGATTGTTAATTTGTCCTGCCTGTGGATACTCTCATGATTCACATGAGTCAGCTGCTACCAGCCAAAAAGCTCTTTAAGACCCTTTGTTTTCCCCAAACTAGCGAGTTTTGTAAAACAGCTACACCACCAGATATGTCACTTCATCTAAAATAAAAAACGTAACATAAAAGATTTTACCCATTGGTATGTAGATTCCTGTTTCTGAAGCCTCAGCGCCATATTAGCTCTATGTAGAATCGTGTGGAGCTTGATAGTCAAGGCTCCTACTGGGTTAGTCATCAAGGTCTATCCTAACAGATGGGTGTTATTATCTTAGGCTGGTGCTGGGTAGCTCCTTCTGTTACTGAGAGGAAGACAAAGTGGAGGTAGAGAGTAGAGCAAGGCTTTAGCTAGGGATTAGTGTTGGCTAGCATTAGCGTCTTTGCT